CTCTTCATGGCTGGCACTCATTGATTGTTGGATGAGTTGTTTGGACATCTTTATAGTGACATAGATGTCAAGTGAAATAATTCTGTGTACTTTTCATACTACAAAAGTGATCATTCTAACAAATAAAAGTAGTTCGTAATGTCTTAATTGGGATCAGCCAGACTGAAACTGTGTGTGAGATTTTTGTCATTTTGTGATTCTCAGATTACTGAGCTGCTTCCCAGGGAAACGTGAGCTTGCAGGGCAGCAGTGTGGGTCGGGTCCCTTGTTACTTTCCTGACACCAGCGCTCCCATCTTCACGGTGGGAATGGCAGGCCGGCGGCTGTGACCCTGGGCAGGACACCCCCCCTCCCCGCCTGTTCCCACGTCTCTAAAGCGGAGGTAATCACAAGTCCAACAAGTGTTCTTGGAACTTGTTCGAAATCCTTGGGCCAGTGTCGCAGCTCACTAGGCTAATCCTCCACCTGCGGCGCCAGCACTCCGGGTTCTAGTCCCAGTTGGGGCGTCGGTTCTGTCTCAGTTGCGCCTCTTCAGTCCAGCTCTCTGCTGTGGCCAGGGAGTGCAGTGGAGGATGGCCCAAGTGCTTCGGCCCTGCAACCCATGGGAGACCAGGAGGAAGCACTTGGTTCCTGGCTTCAGATCGGCGCAGCATGCCGGCCATAGCAGCCATTTGGAGGGTGAACCAACGGAAGGAAGACTTTTCTCTCTCTCCCCCACTGTCTTAACTCTGCCTGCCTGCCAAAAAAAAAAAAAAAAAAATCCTTGGCAGATGTTAGTGGCTGCCACTGCTATGACCAGGTAGGTGTGCCCGCGTTAATTCTGTAACTGAACTGGACAGTAAGCCTTAGCATTAGATGTCTTTTGTTGGAGGTATGCAGGGCGGGCCCATGTCAGCTGGAATCACTCCTGAGCAGGTTTTGGGAGGCCACTGTGTTTTCAGATCAGTCCGTCCTCTCTGGTGTAGCAGTTTCTGAACCTCCGGAAGTAAGTTCGTGTGCCTTGAGAAGCAGCTCCAAGGTCAATACCTGGGCCTCCCCTTGCCCAGCGTCCCTGGGAAGGCTCGAGTCTGAACTTGTCATACTGTTGGCTGAGCTGGGGGAGCCCTGGGTGTGATGTGGACGGCAGGGTGGACAGCGCCGCCCCCACCCTCCCTCTCTGCCCAGTCACTGGGGTCACACGCAGGACTAGGTCGTCCCTCTACCTGGCTGCAGCCCCCCTGCCACTCTTCTGCTCTCCTGAGTCCCTTCTGACTTTCCTCTTTGCCTCCGGTGTTGTGCCCCTCACGTGTCAGCCTTGGCACACTGTGGGATTGGGTTTTTGAGAAAACTGGACACTGTGTATTCTGGCCCATGTGGTGGTTCTGGGTTGCTGTTACAAAGGTCTCCTCGCCCACCCTGTATTCCTGTTGACTGATGTCCAGGCTGTTCCCTGTTGGCTGCTCTTAATAGCACTGATGCAGTGTAGCAGTTCAGGCGTACTTTGTGTCCCTCACACTTGTCTCAGATATTTTGGTTGTTTTTGCACACCTTTATGACGCGTCATGTACCAGGAGGAAACAGACTGGAGATGTTCTGTCCACCGGGTCACTCCCAGATGTTGGCAGTGGCCAGGGCTGACCAGTCCAGTCTGATTCTCCCACACGGCAGCAGGGCCCAGGTGTCTAAGCCGTCACCTGTGCCTGTAGGTCATCAGCAGGAGCTGGGATTCACAGCGGGCTGAGCTTGGACACTGAGAGGGGTGCAGAGTCCCAAGGGGCACTGAAGCCACTGTGCCACACACCTGCCCTACACGTTTGTTCTTGGAAACTGAGCTTTGGGTTAGTTAAGATTTGTTTATTTGAATCTCAGAATTACAGAGAAGAAACTTCCATCCGCTGGTTCACTCCCCAATGGCTGGGCCAGGCAGAAGCCAGGAGCCAGAAGCGCCATCCAGGTCTCCTTTGGGTGCAAGGGCCCGAGTACACGGGCCATCTGCTACTTCCTCACACGCATTAGCAGGGAGCTGGAGCGGAAGCAGAGCAGCCAGGACTCAAATCAGTACCCATAAGGGTGCCATCGCAGCACACGGTGGCTGGGTTTCATTTTTTAAAATTTATTTTTAAGGTTTATTTTCTTGTTTGAAAGGCAGAGTTACAGCGAGCAGCGGTGGGGTGGGGTGGGTGTGTGTGTGTGTTCCATCCGCTGGTTCACTCGCCAGATGGCCGCAGCGGGTGGAGCTGCACTGATCCGAAGCCAGGAGCTTCTCCCATGTGAGTGCCGGGGCCTTCCCACTGCTCTCCCAGGCACTGCAGAGCTGGGTCCCGGCAGTCAGTGCCGCGTCCCCCGTGAGCTTACAGTGGCACCGAGAACTGCCTCTGCCCAGTGACCTCCCGGTCCTCACAGCTGTGATGCGGAGGCAGACAGAGCTAGGCAAGTGGGGTTATCCAACAAAAGTGTAGAATGTAAAAGCTTACAGAATGATGTCAATACTCGTATGCAGCTGTACGATATGGTTAAGTATTTTCAGAGATTATAAAATTAGTGTTTGTTAAGAAAGCAGTGGGGGCTGGCACTGTGGCGCAGCAGGTTAATGCCCTGGCCTGAAGCACCGGCATCCCATATGGCACCAGTTCTAGTCCCAGCTGCTCCTCTTCTGATCAGCTCTCTGCTGTGGCCTGGGAAAGCAGTAGAAGACGGTCCAGGTCCTTAGGCCCCTGCACGCACATGGGAGACCTGGAACAAGCTCCTGGCTCCGGATCAGCGCAGCTCCGGCTGTTGTGGCCATCTGGTGAGTGAACCAGCAAATGGAAGACCTTTCTCTCTTTCAAATAAATAAAATATTTAAAAAAAAAAAAAAAGGCAATGTTGACTAAACTGAGGGTAGCCCAGTGTTGACTAAATTGAGGGTAGCCCCGTGTGCGCAGGGGTGGCCGAGGCCTCCACTTGGGAGCCCTGTGGCTTGCTCACTGGCTCGCGTGCAGCAACCCGTCCTGGAAGCTCGCTCAGGGGCCATGTTGACCTTGACTTTGCCATGTTTCTGCTCCTTCCCCATGGGCGGCTCTGCTTGGGTACCTGGGTGTTTGGGATTGGACTGCTGTGGCCTGCAGTGTCCAGCACAGTGACACAGGTGTGTGTGTCGAGCACCAGGCTACACCATACAGCCTGGGTCTGGTGTAGGCTGTGCGAGCAGGGAGCTGTGTACACACACACACACGCTGTGCTCTTAGCATGCTGAGGCCACACCCCCCATTTGTGGTGCGGTGCTGAGCGGTTGCGTAGGTGTCAGCGTACGAATGTGCTGTTGCCAGACTTAGCCATGCTGACTTCAGGTTAGAGAACGTTCCCGTAGGTCAGTCGTTTCCTCGTGTTCTTGTTGCTACTGGACTTCTTTTTTCTCTTTTCAGAGAAAGTTTCATTGTGCAAATCTGACTTCGTGGCCTCGCTGGCTGTACTCCTTGTATGACGCTGTAAGTAAGTTTCCTTGAACGCCTGCGTCTCCGGGCATGTCGTAACCAAGCGTGGATCACCCAGAGCTATTTTACTCTCAGAACTAACACCCTTGGTTACCTGTGAAGTAGAGCAGGCGGCACTCAGATCCTGCTGGGAACGGGGGCCCACCCTGGGTTTCTCCACAGTTGCTTGTTGCTTGTTGTCTGTGACTTAGAGACGTCAGGGTGTTTCATGGATTTGAGATTTTGCTGGGTCAAGTGGGAATCACGCTGAGAATAAGAGGGTCCTCACGATGGTTTGGTTTTGATTTTCTCTAAACAAGTTCACTGCATTTCTGCTCCTCACTAGCCTACTGCCTGAGGCATACACGAGGGGTGGGTCCTGCACCCAAGTTACCCATGAGGCACTGCCTGTGTGCAGACTTCGCTGCAGGGCAGACGCGGGGAGGACCTGAGAAGAGTGGTGGACGCTGGGTTTGAGCTCAGGTGCCGTCCTGTATTCTGCGGCCCGGGGCAGAGTTGTTCCCTGAGCACCTGGCTGCTAGGGAGAGCAGCTCTGCTGTGTCCGCGAGGCAGCCTCCTGGGAAACTGAACAGAGGGCTCCGAGCACTTGGGACGGTGACCCTGGGCTCTGCTGGCAGCAGCTTCCGAGCCTCCCACAGACAGTGCACAGAGTCTTAGAGGACACTCACAGGCTGTCCGGGCGTCTTCAGGACCACCACGAGGAGACGCGGGTGGCTGAGGACTTGGGAGCTGAGAAGCTGATGGTCAATTCTGATAGGCTTGTGAATTTATCTTGGCTTCTTTCAAACAAGGAAACGCTTATGGATAGAATCAAGAAACAGCTCCGTGAATGGGATGAAAATCTAAAGGACGATTCTCTTCCTTCAAATCCAATCGGTATGAAGCTTGTGGTGTGTGAAATACATTGTTTTTCACGGATTCGGGAAAGCACACGCATTTCCTTTGCCAACCGAGTTAACGTGTGGTAAAGCTCGTGTGGAGTCCTCCGGCTCTTTACGGGCCAGTTCCTGGACTTCGCGATTTGTAAAATAAATCCAAGTTCATGTGTAGTTTAAATGACATTTGCAAAAACAAGTGTGGGAAATTAAATGTGCATTGTGGAAGCCCTGTGAAGAGGGGGCTGTTTCCTGACTCAAACCTGTGAACTCTACCGTGTCTTCTAAGATTTTTCTTACAGAGTAGCTGCTTGTCTTCCTATCGACGATGTATTAAGAATTCAGCTCCTTAAAATCGGCAGCGCTATCCAACGACTTCGCTGTGAGCTCGACATCATGAATAAAGTGAGTGCGTGCGTGTGCGTCAGACTGTGACGGCTTACGGCTCAGCTCCCAACACACGGAGCAGCCAGCGTGAATGCACTCCCTGCCCGCGTGCACATTATCCCAGAGGGCAGTCATCCTTCAGTCTGAAAGGAGAGTGACGCAGATAGAGACGTTTTGATCAGCTGTCATTACAGGAGAATGATAATTTTCTCAACTTTGTTTTTAGTGTACTTCTCTTTGCTGTAAACAATGTCAAGAAACAGAAATCACCACCAAAAATGAAATATTCAGGTAAAGACTTTTATTTTCAGTGATTTCTGGATGTATTTCCCACATCCTGAGTATTCAGTGTTGGGCACGGTCCTCTTCCTGGTGGGTGATGGAGGGGCCTGTGCACAGGAAGTGACCCCCCACTCCCATCCTTCCTGCTGGCACTGTGGTTTGAGCAGGGCTTAGCTCTGCAGAGCCCCTGGTTCCACTGGAAGTCTAACAGCCCCGCATATCAGAGGAGAGCTGCTGACAGTGGACAGTCCAGGCTTCCGGCTCCGCTGTCATTCATTCTGGTTTCCTGTGGGTTTTTTCAGTTTATCCTTGTGCGGGCCGATGGCCGCCTACGTGAACCCCCACGGCTACGTGCACGAGACTCTCACCGTGTACAAGGCTTGCAACCTGAACCTGATTGGCCGGCCTTCTACAGAGCACAGCTGGTTTCCTGGGTAACACCTTACTGCTTTAAATCCCAGAGTGCTAAGCAGAACTGCTACAGTTATAATTAAAGACAGTGTAGGACACAGCACAGACAGCTGGACACTAGCCACGCTCCTGAAGTCAGGGAGAAGGAGGAGTGCAGCTGATGACCTTGCGACCTGGGGACCCAGTCTGTCCTCTCAGCCGTAGATGGTGGGAGGGAGGCACTTGTGACTATGCATGTAGGGCTTAAACCTCAAGTTCTCCTGTGAATACCACCATGAGGGCTGTGCAGCTAGGGGAGGACTGGCAAGGTCAGTGACCTCACGTGCCAAGACCGCAATCCAGGAGGAAAGCCCTCTTAACAAGGTGGCTCCTAATAGAAGTGGCAGGAAGTTAAGTACAGCTTAAGAGGTTTGTGGGAAAACGAAATTACACATAACAGATTGCAATACAGATGAGAAAACCTTTGGGCTCAGAGAATGCAGAGCTCCTAAATCCTCTGCAGCTCGGCTGATGCATGTAGTAGGCTTGGGATCAGAGACGTGTGTGCGTGGCTGACCGCTCTTAACTTTGCAGGTACGCCTGGACGGTTGCTCAATGCAAGATCTGTGCGAGCCACATCGGATGGAAATTCACAGCCACCAAGAAAGACATGTCGCCTCAGAAGTTCTGGGGTTTAACTCGATCCGCTCTGTTGCCCACAATCCCAGACACTGAGGATGAGCTGAGCCCAGACAGGGTGATCCTTTGCTTGTAAACAGAGGCGGTAGGGGTGGTGTTCGCAATCAGATCTGCTGTCTCCCCTAGAGCGTACGGTTACGTCAGCACACTTGGGACAGACAGATGCACTCCAGGCACACACGAGACCCTACCTACGTAGCTCGGGGCCGTCGTCCGGTGGGCTCTGCTGTGCTGGGCAGGAAGAGATGGCTCCGTGTTGCTGTAGACAGCCAGGGTAAGCCAGGTGCCAAGCACAAGGTGTGTCCCTTCTGGAAGGCAAGGTGACAAATGCTGTTTTAAATGGACTTCTTTTTCAGTTTCCTTTCGCTTGTCTGATACTAATTTGTAAATTTTGAAAATACTAAAGAGTAAGATATGTCATGTGAACCCCCAAATAAAGTTTCCATTTCCTGTGTTGGTTAGTGACAGCACAGCACCCGTCCCAATGACAGCCCTGTTTATTGTCTGTAAGTCAGCTGTTAAACCTGAACCTGTTCTTTGAAAGTCATGTGAAATACTGCTCTTACAGGCTGTGTCACACCCTAGCTGCTTCACACACTGACCAAAAGATCCAACCAGGAAAAATGTTGATTCAAGTACAGCATCAGGACGACACTAGATGGTCCTTTCTGCCCTCAGAAGGCTGTGCTGGGCGGCCCTGGCGGTCAGTCTGACCCTAACCCACCTGCAGTGTGCGGTACCACTTCCAGGGCTCAGTGGCCGATGCCCTCTACTAGCACCTGCTAATAAAATGTTCACTCCCTCCAACGCGCGTGTGTTACTTACAGGTGTGATTCAGACCAGCAGTCGCCCGCGGCCCCCGTTTTAGGCCCCTACAGGCAGACCTTAGAGAGACATCGATACGAAGGCACTTCAGGACGTCCCTGTCACCTGGCTGTGAGAACTGTCTGCTGCCATCAGCACTGCCTCACGCATAAGCAAACACAGCTTGTGAAAAGAGCTTGAACTTTTTGCACGGAAATAGCCCCGTACTTTGACCTGCATCTTCCCTTGAGCTTTCTGAAGCCCTCTCACACATGCCTCCTGGGATGAGGGCCGCAAGCGAAGCCCCTCGTTGTTGACTTCCCTCAGGAGCCTGGACGCAGCTTGCTGGGCTCCATCCTGCTGTGGGAGCTCCCCCACGGGCACGGGGTCTCACACTCTACTTCCCTTCCAGGTTTACATCTATTGTGCAGGTGAGCTAAGAGCTCACCACACGGTGCCTACATAAGCTCAGTGGCAAACCTGAGTAAGCGTGTCAAACAAGGATCAGGTTCAGTGATGTCTGTCCCGCGAGAGGAGGCGGGCGTGCAGAACCTCGGCTCCCCAGCCGAGCGCCGGGCTGGGCAGAGAGCAAAGTGGTTCTTACCAGGCCCCTTCCGGCGGCGGGCGCCCTCAGCCTTCCGTCTTCCTGATGGAGCTGAGCAGCTCCTCCTTGTCCATCTGGTAGCCGCTCTTCTTCCACTGGGCTCGCAGCTGCTGCAGGAGCGCCCCGATCTCTCTTCCCGAGGAGACGCCCTCCTTCCTGAGGTCATGGCCGCTCACGGGGAAGGGGGGCACGGACCAGCCCCGCATCTGCTCCAGCAGCCCGTGCTCGCCCTGGTACTTGAGCAGCTCACAGACGCGCGCAGCAGCATCCGGCTCCCTGCACTGGCCACACACGAGAACGCCGCCGAGTCACGCGCTGGGGCTGCCACGGTGCACCCGCCCACCGCCCACCCACCACGGCCGCTCCCACACTGGCTGTGCACTCACGTCTATGACGAAGTCCTGGTACGGCCGCAGTGACTCGGAGCTGTCGGCTGCTCTAACTAAGTCCTTCCTGTTTTTAACTATAAACAAGCCAAGGTTCTTCTCTTCCTTTGAAATCTTCAACCTCAAATCCAGTTTGGTGACATCATCTTGTGCTTTGAATAACGAGGCCAAGACTGTCATTGGCTTCGGTGAAAAGCCTTCAACGTTCTTAGTGACTTTGTTAAATTCTTCTAAACTCGCATTGGCAGGTAAACCTGTAGGGACAGAGGCGTTTTCCACCTGTTTCTAGAGGGAACCAGTGTTTGTGCCGAAAGGCATGTGGCTGGACACAATGCTGGTCCAGTCTGCTACACCCCAAATGAACCACCGCTGCCTCCGTGCTGTCCTCTGCCGTCACGCTCAAAACCTAGAGGAGGCCAGCGCTGCGGTACGGCGGGTAAAGCTGCCGCCTGCAGTGCCGCCACCCCATATGGGCGCCAGTTCGAGTCCCGGCTGCTCTTTGCTATCGCCTGGGAAAACAGTAGAAGATGGCCCAAGTCCTTGTGCCCCTGCACCCACATGGGAGACCTGGAAAAAGCCCCTGGCTTTAGCCTGGCACAGCTCCGGCCATTGCAGCTGACTGGGGAGTGACCCAGCAGATGGAAGACCTCTCTCCCTCTGCCTCTTCCTAACAGGCCTGCCTCAGCAGGCGGCAGCGGGCACGTGGTGTCACTCGCGAGGGACCCTCTCCCGTCACCACTCCTGAGTGTGCTGCAGCGTCAGGTGACAGCACCCCATCCCCAGTGTAACCTCTGAACCACCACTGTTTTGGGGGTGCTGACTGAAACCTCCCTGGAGCTTGCCTACGTGAAGCTGTTATGAACGTGCCTGAAGCACTGTGTGTGACCCCTGGACGACGCAGTGGGCAAACAGCCTTTTTAGATCACAACCTGACCCCAAAGTCTGGTGTCTTGTAAAATGTCCCATGTCGGGGCCGGCGCTGTGCCTCACTAGGTTAATCCTCTGCCTGCGGCGCCGACATCCCATATGGGCACCGGGTTCTAGTCCTGGTTGCTCCTCTTTCAGTCCAGCGCTCTGCTGTGGCCTGGGAGGGCAGTGGAGGATGGCCCAAGCCCCTGCATGGGAGACCAGAAGAGGCACCTGGCTTCGGATCGGCACAGCGCCAGCCGTGGTGGCCATTTGGGGAGTGAACCAACAGAAGAACGCCCTTTCTGCCTCTCTAACTCTGCCTGTCAAAAAAAAAAAAAAAGTCCCACGTCCCCACTACAAATTCCTCAACTACATGACGCAGACACTGTCGACTAGTGGTTTACACGGCGGCCTCACCGATGTGCGGGGCCACGTGGAGATCGTAGATGAGGTGAACCAGGTGATGCACGTGCCTTCCGGTCAGAATCTTCTTCAGCTCCACCCAAATCCTCTCCCCAGATATTCCGGCCAGGCCGTGTGCGTTCTCTGCGATTGCTTCCAAGGTCTCGGGATCATGCTCCCCGGGTTTCTCCACGACTCTGCCGTAAAACCTACAGGAAAGCATCTTTGCGGTGACTGGCTGTTACCGAGAGAACACAGGGCGCCCTGAGCCGGCTGCTACCCCCAGGACACGTGTGCTGACACGGGGCGCCCTGAGCCGGCTGCTACCCCCAGGACACGTGTGCTGACACGGGGCGCCCTGAGCCGGCTGTTACCCACAGGACACGTGTGCTGACACGGGGCGCCCTGAGCCGGCTGCTACCCCCAGGACACGTGTGCTGACACGGGGCGCCCTGAGCTGGCTGTTACCCACAGGACACGTATGCTGACACGGGGCGCCCTGAGCCGGCTGCTACCCCCAGGACACGTGTGCTGACACGGGGCACCCTGAGCCGACTGCTACCCCTAGGATACGTGTGCTGACACGGGGTGCCCTGAGCCGGCTGCTACCCACAGGACACGGGGCGCCCTGAGCCGGCTGGTATCGACAGTTCACGTGTGCTGACACGGTGCGCCCTGAGCCGGCTGTTACCCACAGGACACATGTGCTGACACGGGGCACCCTGAGCCGGCTGTTACCCCCAGGACACGTGCGCTGACACGGGGCACCCTGAGCCGGCTGGTACCGACAGGACACGTGTGCTGACACGGGGCACCCTGAGCACGCCCGACCACGGAGATAGCGCGCTAGACACAGACAGGATGGCTCTTCATGAGGTCAAGCACAGCACCTAACCATCCAGGTGGGGTGCACGCTCACTCCGCTGTGAGGACGCCCACATCAGAATGTCACGCAGCCCTCGGGAGGCAGGGTATGGCTCTCGTAACTAGGCTTCTGCCACCCACGTGGGAGACCTGGACTGAATTACCAACCGCAGGCTTTAGCTGGTCCCGGCCTTGGCCACTGGGGCCCCTCGAGGAGTGAACTTGTCAACAGCTTTGTCTCTACCTTTCAGATTAAATCTCTCCAACCCCTACTCTGCACCGGCCGAGTTCTACCTACGTGCCTGCGCTCGGCCACTGGCCCTGCACCACTGTGCCGTGAGGCATCAGCCGTCCCGGGCCGCCTCCCACAGCTGCGGGGCGGCAGATTCGTGCTCAGAGCACCCCACAGGGCCTGGCTGGTGGTGAGCATTCAGGCCTGGCGTCCAGTGACAGGGGAGAACAGGCGCTGGACTCACAGCTCAGCTGCAGAGGTCACGCCCACGTCTCAGAGGCCCAGCGTCCCCTGGACACAGACACTGTACCTGCACAGCAACCGTCCGGCTCCGGCGATGACGCCACAAATGCTATTTATTTGTTTTAAAGCAAGTTTTAAACATTCTTACCTGAAATATCTTAGAATCCGAAGATAATCTTCTTGTATTCTCTGTTTGGCCTGTCCAACAAATCTAACTTTCTTATTTTTTAAGTCTTCATAACCATTAAAGTAATCAAATAAGGTGCCATCAAAACCTATTCATCACAAAAGAGAGAGAGAGAATCTGTCAGCAGATAAGAATCTGAACACAGGAGAAAACCAGCTACAGTTCTTCCCTTCAGCAAGGGAGGAAGGTACAAACCAGTCACTAGCAGGAATCCTTAGCTATCAGACGCAAGATGAAATCCAAGGCTGCACTTGGAACGGCAACTAGAAAGGTTACAGCTCCCAGGACAAAGGAACATAGGCCAGATCTGGTGACCTGGGGCAAGCAAGAGGAAAACAGACCATGCGATCGCCAAGGTAACAGGAAATGAACCGGGAAGGGGCTGGTGTTGCGGCGTGGCGGGTAAAGCCCCCGCCTGCGACGCCAGCATCCCCGACGGGCACCGGCTGCTCCACTTCTGCTTCAGCTCCCTGCTACCTCGCCCAGGAAAGCAGCGGAGCATGGCTCAAGAGCTTGGGTCCCTGCCCCCGCACGTGAAGCCAGGCTGAATTTCCTGGCTCCTGGCTTCAGGCTGACCCAGGCCTAGCCACTGTGGCCATTTACGAGTGACCCAGTGGATGGAAGACCTGTCTCTCTAACTCTGCCTTTCCAATAAATAAAACAAGTCTTTAAAAATAAACAAAAACAAAAACACTCAATTACCCCAAAGCAACAAACATGGGTAAGCTTATAACTTCCTGCTTAGCCAGTTTTGCTTAGAAGCTGCAGATTCGGGTCAGCTTTGCGGCCCACTGGGTTAAGCTTCACCTGCGGTGCCAGAAGCCCACGTGGGCACTGGTTCACGCCCCAGCTCCCTCTCGCCATCTCTTCCTTCTGAATAAATACATCTTAAAGCAGACAAAAACCCTCCAGATTCAATAAGACACCAGCAGAAAATGAAGAGAAAATTAAGTCAACACAAATATGAACCCAAAGTAGCGAACCCCTAGCGGGTACTCAGCCGTCACCCACCTCCGTGAGGCCCCGCTCCTCGCTGAGCCTGCAGAGGCCAAGGTCTTTCAGCAAAGAAGAGAGAGATTTGGGGAAAAAAAATTTTAAAAAAATGAAAAAGCAAAACGAAGGGTTTGGGAAGCCACGTAACAACTACAAATGTCAAAACCATGAATGCCTGAGCCCAGACGCTTGACAACAACCCAGAGGCTGGGCTGGGCGTCAGCACTGCAGAGAACTGAGACGCGAGGACGGTGTCCAGGGAGGGGTGCGCAGCAGCCGCTGGGAAGGCTCGAGTCCGGCGGGTGCTGGACAGGGCCTGGGCCCAACAACGGCGCAGCAAACGTCAGGACAGAACCAGCGCCAGTGCGAGGAGCCCCCATCCCACTGTACTTCCAAACCATGCTGATCACACAGCGTCTCTCAGGCTGTGTTCTCGGGGAAGCCAGTCAGGACAACGTAGCTCCACCATGTCCAACAGTTCCCACTGAGCTGAACAAGCAAACGTGCACGGGTGCCCCCTCACGTGCCTAGCACCTCGTAAGCACCCAAGAACGGTGCCTGTCGTCGGTGCGGTGAGCTGAGACCCAGCCCCGGGCCGACAGCCTCCCCTCCCAGGGCAGCCCCTCCTGCCCCAGCCTCACAGGGTGGTGTGCCCCCGCTTCCCTAATCCAGTCTGAAACACAGAGGGCGTGGCACCAAGGCGCCTACCGGCACGCAGCTGCTCACCACTTCATTAATCCACAGTTCACCTGACCTAGCAAGCAGGTGCCACCCTCCTGGCCAGCACACTGATTACGGCCGAATCCCAGCACTGCGGTGAGGCGGAACCTCGGCTCACACACATGCAACTGAAGGGGTGCCGATGTCACTCACCAACGCGCACCCGGACGCCACGCGAAGGGACACGTGTGCACACGGCGGGGCAAGCACAGGGACAGCACCAGGCGTGCCCGTGCCTGCACAGGTGCACACACGCGTTCCTGTCAGACACTCAGGGCTGACACGGCTGGAGGTAGCACCGTCCCACCACGCGCTCAGGCGCTGCTCTAGGCACTGAGCATTCACTCCCTTAACCCTCACGACCACCCCACCAAGGAGCGCGTCAGCACCGCCAGTGCAGCCGGTAGGTGACAGCGCAGGGACCCCCACGTGACCCACGCACGGCCCTGTCCCGCCCGAGCTGTCTCCCTTACCCAGGAACATGGAGTTGATGGTGAGGTCCCGGCGCTCAGCATCCTTCTGCCAGTCGGTGGTGAACTCCACCTCGGCGTGCCGGCCATCAGTGGTAACGTCAATGCGCAGTGTGGTGATCTCGAAGTTCTCTTCATGCAGCTGCAATCAGACACGCAGGCTGTCACCAAGCACTCTGTGGTGCCACCTGCACTCAGAAACCAAGTCTGTCTCCGCTAGGGCCTGACCGGGGGTGTCCTGCATGTCTTCTGAAGGGAAGCGTCAACCAGCCCACACTAAGTCACACAGGAGGAGCACACAGCCAAAGACGGAGCCCACGAGGGACATTTAAACAGACACCACTGCCACCGACATCGAATCCTAAGAGCAAGGGCCTCCGACACGCGCTGTGTCCCGACTGCCCGTTCAAACCAGGCTGCTCTCTGGAACACGGCCAAGCGCAGTCTGCAAGCTCCGGGTTTCGGTTCCGGCAGCAGGTGCCGAGCAGGGAGCCGCCACTCTAGCCCACGCACGCTGCCTGTCCTGGCAAAGACGGCTGGGGAAGTCGCGTGGGCACATGACAGAGTGACACGCGTGGTCAGCCTCGACCACGAGAAGCATCTGTACACGCAGACGGACGGAGAACGTTCCAGCTGCCCAAAAGCAGGGACAGAGAGCACGGCACTTAGGGACGACAGCGGACGCCCCGGACTCCCGGCAGGAGACTGGACTCGGGACGCGGAAGCAGAGGAGGGTCACTGCACAGCCCCACACCGCTGCCCTGGTACCAGCGCTGTCTCTGATCACTACAGAAGCCCAGCCCCCCTGAGGGCAAAGCAAAGCAAACACCTGAGAGTCCCTGCTACACCTCCCCGTCCCAGTGCCTCCCGACCCAGGCAGAAACCCAGCGCTGACCCCTCTAGGAGAGCAGAGCCCCCAGTCACCAGACATGGGGCCCCAGGGACAGAGATCACGTCACAAAAAGACAAGACTCGGGGACACCAACCCGCCCCCGACTGCTCCCCCCTGACGCAGCACTCGGGGTTCTTCCCTGGCAACGGCCGCGGGGGACTGCACTTCACCCCTGCTGCAGACACCTCGCACACAGAACAGCATCAGCCACAGACCGACATTCAAGGGAAGCCAGCCAGAGACAGGAGCTGCTCAGGGGGGCCGGCCCTGGGCAGCAGTGGGTGACGGCGCCACCTGCCTGAGACGCCAGCATCCCACACGGGCAACAGCTGCAGTCCCGGCTGCTCCACTTCTGATCCAGCTCCCTGCTAATGCACCTGGGAAAGCAGAGGAGGACGGCCAAGTGCTTGGGCCCCTGCACCCACGTGGGAGACCCTGAAGGGGCTCTTGGCTCCTGGCTTCGGCCTGGCCCAGCCCTGCCATTGTAGCCATCTGGGGAGTAAACCAGCAGATCGAAAATTGATCTCTCTCTCCCTCTGCCTTTCAAATAAATAATTTTTAAAGAGATTTATTTACTTGATAAGCAGAGCTACATAGAAAGGAGGAGAGGCAGACACAGAGCAGTCTCCCATCCGTTGGTTCACTCCCCAGATGGCTGCAATGGCTGGAGCTCTGCCAATCAAAAGCCAGGAGCCAGGAGCTTCTTCCGGGTCTCCCACGTGGGTGCAGGGGCCCAAGGACTTGGGCCATCTTGCACTGCTTTCCCAGGCCACAGCAGAGAGCTGGGTCAGAAGTGGAGCAGCCAGGACTTGTCCAGTGCCCGTATGAGATGCCGGCGCTTCAGTGGTGACTTTACCCCCAACACCACAGAGATGGCCCCAAATAAATAATGAACAAAAAAAGACAAGCTCTGAGGAAGCAAACATCAAAGAAATACAGCTGATGCCCCACTGGGAATCAGACACTACACCTGACACAAGCAAAGTCAGCTTTCAAAGAAACACCACACGGAGGTCAGAGTGGACGGCACCCACGCGGGAGATGGGAAGAGGCTCCCAGCTCCGGACACATAGCTCTGGCCCTCACAGCAACGGGGATGAGCCAGCAGAGATGACCTTTCTGTCTCTCCCTCACTTTCTGTAACTCTGTCAAATGAATAAATAAAATCTTTACTAAAAATGAAAAGGATTACTGAAAAGCAGTAAGCAGAGGGTAATGCACCACCAAAAAAGAAATTTCTTTCCGTAAATGCTGTGCACACTCAGTGTGCAGGTGCACACTCACATGGAGGTGCCCTCGCATAACAGAGTGCACACTCGGCGTGCGGGTGCACACTCACACGGCGGTGCCCTCGCATAACAGTGCACACTCGGCGTGCGGGTGCACACTCACGGCAGCGTCCTCACATATCACAGTGCACACTTAGTATGCAGGTGCACGCTCACGGCAGCTCCATACATAACACAGTGCACACCCTGTGTGCCAGGTTCACACTCATGGCAGTGTCCTCACATAACACAGTGCACACTCAGTGTGCAGGACTCACGGCAGTGTCCTCACATAACACAGTGCACACTCAGTGTGCAGGACTCACGGCAGTGTCCTCACATAACACAGTGCACACTCACGGCAGTGTCCTCACATAACACAGTGCACACTCAGCGTACAGGGTGCACACTCAGTGTGCAGGTCCACACTCACACAACAGTGTCCTCACATAACACAGTGCACACTCGGCACACAGGGTCCACACTCACACAGCAGTGTCCTCACATATCACAGTGCACACTCACGGCAGTGTCCTCACATATCACAGTGCACACTCAGTGTGCAGGGTGCACACTCAGTGTCCTCACATAACACAGTGCACACTCACGGCAGTGTCCTCACATAACACAGTGCACACTCAGCGTACAGGGTGCACACTCAGTGTGCAGGTCCACACTCACACAGCAGTGTCCTCACATATCACAGTGCACACTCACGGCAGTGTCCTCACATGTCACAGTGCACACTTGGCACACAGGGTCCACACTCACGGCAGTGTCCTCACATGTCACAGTGCACACTCACGGCAGTGTCCTCACATATCACAGTGCACACTCGGCACACAGGGTCCACACTCACACAGCAGTGTCCTCACATATCACAGTGCACACTCACGGCAGTGTCCTCACATATCACAGTGCACACTCAGTGTGCAGGGTGCACACTCAGTGTCCTCACATAACACAGTGCACACTCACGGCAGTGTCCTCACATATCACAGTGCACACCCACAGCAGTGTCCTCACATAACAGTGCACACTCAGTGTGCAGGTCCACACTCACACAGCAGTGTCCTCACATGTCACAGTGCACACTCGGCACACAGGGTCCACACTCACGGCAGTGTCCTCACATGTCACAGTGCACACTCACGGCAGTGTCCTCACGTAACACAGTGCACACTCGGCACACAGGGTCCACACTCACACAGCAGTGTCCTCACATGTCACAGTGCACACTCGGCACACAGGGTCCACACTCACGGCAGTGTCCTCACATGTCACAGTGCACACTCGGCACACAGGGTCCACACTCACAGCAGTGTCCTCACATGTCACAGTGCACACTCAGTGTGCAGGGTGCACACTCGGCACACAGGGTCCACACTCACACAGCAGTGTCCTCACATGTCACAGTGCACACTCACGGCAGTGTCCTCACACATCACAGTGCACACTCAGTGTGCAGGGTGCACACTCGGCACACAGGGTCCGCAGAGCGTAAATCCGCTCAGCAGCGTCCTCAGCCCTCACCTGCTCACTTCCCACTCTGAGCCGAGCGGCTCCGCGGCACGTGCCCTACACAGGTGTGTGGCACAGCAGGCCAAAGCCCTGGTCTGCAGCGCCAGCATCCCATATGGTGCCGGTTCGAGTCCTGGCTGCTGCACTTCCAGTCCAGCTCTCTGCTATGGCCTGGGAAAGCAGAAGAACATGGCCCAGGTCCTAGGCCCTGCACCAAGGACCCTGGAAGAACCTCCCGGCTCCTGGCTTTGGATCGGTGTAGCCACAGCCATTGCGGCCATCTGGGGAGTGAACCAGCGGATCATAGACCAACTTCCCTCCCTCCCTCTCTCCCCGCCACCGCCTCTGCCCCCTCTAACCCTGCCTGTCAAACAAACGAATCTTCTGGAGACAGCAGCATCCAGCGCCGCGCAGCGTGCCGGGCCGCTCACCCTGGCCGTGACCGTGCCGTGCTTCTCCCCCTTGTTGTTGATCATGCGGACCCCGGCCGCCTGGAACATCTGCTTCATCTGCGCGGGGGTGGCGGTGGTGGCAAAGTCCACGTCCTGCGGCTTCACTCCAGCCAGCAAATCCCGCACGGCCCCGCCCGCAATCCTCAGCTCATGGTTCTCTCTGACAAACAGCTCTGCGGGACAGGAAAAGCGTGTCAGTCACAGAAGAGCTCCTAGCCCACCACAAGCCCGCCTCACGGGGCCCTCTCCCAGCCACCGACACACAGCTGGAACTCAGGAGGCACCGAGTCCCTGTTAGTCACACACTAACGGTGATGAGGGGAGGAGCCTTGACCCGAGCGTGGGTGTAGACGGGGATGCGGCAGGCCCACCTGTTGCAGCGTGTGCCCTGCACGTGGCTCTTCTGAGCCGTGGCTGCGAAGCCAGAGGTGGCCCAGCCCTGCGTCCTGCCCCTGCCACCCTCCAGCCGCCCCAGACGGCTCTCTTGGGACTACGCGAACTAAACAACCTCCCCCCCTCCCTCCGCACATGTCACCAGTCACAAATCGCCGACTAGCACACCCTCCCACGACGCCCAGGGTTCTCTCCGGCCTGCGGCACCCGCACAGCCAGGAACAGGGCCCAGCCTGGGTGCCCAGGCCCCTGCGCAGCACGCGGACACGGCACCCCCAGCAGGCCCGGCACCCACTCGCACTCAGCTCGCACGCCCACGCCTCCCCAGCTTCGGTGCTGTCTCCCCCACGCCTCGCCCTCTGCTCTCCTGAACCCCAGCACCCTTCTGCAGGCTCCGAGCCAGGACGAGCTGCGCCGGCGAGTCCTGCCCGCCTCCACCTCCACCCTGCAGGAAAAGCCGGCTCTCCTGCCCTCCTCCCCAGGTCCCAGCACGGGCGCTCCAAACACACCACGGAAGTGCAATCCACACATCACGGAAGTGGAATCCACACGTCACGGAAGTGGAATCCACACACCACGGAAGTGCAATCCACACATCACGGAAGTGGAATTACAACTTCGCTTTGGTGCAAACCTTGAAACCCAGGCACACAGGGGTTTTCTCCAAGTCCAGGGAATACGCACGAGGAAACCTGCACGGGAATGGGTTCCACAGCTTTGTGGTAACAAACCTCTCTCAATTCCATCTTCCACAGACTGTGCGAAGCCCCCACTAAAAGATCTTTAACGCAGGAGCCACGTCTCACACCGCAGGGGCAGGCGTTTGGTGCAGCCGTGGGGACACTGCTTGGAACGACTTCCTTCCACGCCGGCACACCTGGGGACAAGTCCCACGCCCCTGCTTCCAATCCACTTCCTGCCAATGCACATCCCGCGAGGCAGGTACCGGCACAGGTGGTCAGGCCCCCGCCAGCCCCGTGGGAGGCATGAACTGAGGTCCCAGCTCCTGGCTGCGGCCAGGCCCAGCTCTGATACTGCAGGCATCTGGGGAGTCAACCCGTACGCCTCTGCCCTTCAAATAAAACTAAAATACATAAAATTTACAATAAAATGGAAAGTCAGCTATGTCAGTGCAGAGCCTACCGCCCTGTCACTGACAGAGAGCCTGGTCCAGGGGAGACGCTGGAGTCTCAGGGCCGCCCTCACTCACCTCCCCCTCCAGGGCCACAGCAGTCTCCCTGGGTCTGGCGTCTGCAATCCAGACGCAGGGGTCTAAGTCGCAGGCAACCGAGCTACACAGCTGCCCCTCCGGCCGAGCCTCCACCGCGTCCACTCCAAGCAGCCGTAGCTGGCCTCCAGGACCAATTCCTGCCCCACCCCTGGCTAAGCTTCGCCTCACGCTCTCTCTGACCCGAGTTCTCCCGGCAGGTTCCCCTGCAGCACTGCTGGTGAGGGGCTCTCCCCAAAGCACCATCCCAACTCACTCAGGCACTCGGCCGCTGGCCGCCACCTCCCTGGTGCTGAAGCAGCCACACACAGGGACGTGGCCACACGGTCAATCCGTGCTCCACTGCGCACCACGGTCTGGCCTCTTCCTCTCGCCCTTTGTTCTCAGTGCCGCTCGTGACCACTCACGCCCCCGTCTGGCCCTGCTGGCTGGCTGCCCGACAGACATCCCAACCCCACGCTCAGTGACTGCTCGGGAAGCCTCCCTGAAGGTGAACGCCAGGGCTGCCAGCAAGCACCTGGGCGCACACGCATCGCACCAGGGGCTGCCAGCAAGCACCTGGGCGCACACGCATCACGCCAGGGCTGCCAGCAAGCACCTGGGCGCACACGCATCACGCCAGGGCTGCCAGCAAGCACCTGGGCGCAAACGCATCGCACGGAGGCTGCCCCTCCGCCTGTCTCCCCAGCACTAGGGTGCAAGTGCAGACTTACTGGCCTGTGCACCACCCTGGCCCACCTGAACGGCCATCCAGCTACCAACGAAAGCTGGGGACCCTGCCACCGAGGCACCCCCTGGAACACCCACAGCTCACCCAGGCGCCCCCTTCAAGTCCCAGTCCTGCTTCCTGCTACCGCAGACCCTGGGAGGCCGCAGGTGCCGGCCCACGCTGCTGAGCCCGACACCTGCCTGGAAGATGAGCCCAGCCCCAGGAGCTACAGGAACTGGGCCATGAATGAGTGGGTGAAGACCCTTCTAATTAACTAAATAAGCAATAAAAAATCTGCAGCAATGTTAAACCCACGTTGGAAAGTCTTTTTTGTTTGTTTTGTTTGTTTTACCTTGAAATACCAGGTTTATATTCACTGGACCCCACTTTAGAAAGCAGGACGGCAGGCCGGTGTTGCGGTACAACGCGTCAAGCCACCACGTGGAGAACCAGCATCCAGCAGGAACACCGGTTCAAGCCCCGGCTGCTCCACTTCCAATCCAGCTCCCTGCTAACCTGTCTGGGAAAGCAGCGGAAGATTCCCCAACTGTATGGGGCCCTGCCATCCAAGTGGGAGACCCGAATGAGTTCTGGGGTCCTGGCTCAGCCTGACCCGGCCCTGGCTGCTGCGGCCACGTGGGGAGTGAGCCAGCAGATGGAGGATCTCTCCCTAACTCGGCCTTTACAACAAAGAAGAAATCTTCTAAAAAAATAAAAGAAACAAAAAAGACAACAGGATGGTCAAAGCTGAATCACAGGTAAGCACTGTTTCAAGATTCCCACACTGGCTTCAGTGAAATAAAATTGTAGGTTCAAAGTCACTCAGCAAATTAACTGCATTTCAAAATGGAATCCAGAACTGAAAATATCTTAGTCATAGTTTTGATTAGCTCTATCATTAAACCATTTCAAAAAATACTTCACAGTTCAGGCTTTTAAAAGGACACTTAGGGGGCCGGCACCATGGCACAGTAATCCTCCACCTGCTGCGCCAATCTGAAGCCAGGAGCTTCTTCCGGGTCTCCCATGTGTGTGCGGGGCCCAAGCACTTGGGCCATCCTCCACTGCCCTCCCAGGCCACAGCAGAGAGCTGGACTGGAAGAGGGGCAGCCAGGTCTTGGAACCGTGGAACCGGCACCCACATGGGATGCTGGTGCTTCATGCCAGGGCGTTAACCCGCTGCGCCACAGCGCCGGCCCCTCTGTCTCTTCCTCTGTCTGTAACTCTACCTCTCAAAAACATACAAAAAAAAAAATCTTAAAAAAAAAAAAAGGACACTTAGATACAACTCAGTAAGGTACACACGAAGGCACTTTGAGAAGTTCATGGGCCAGCGCCGTGGCTCACTTGGTTAATCCTCCACCTGCGGCGCCAGCATCCCACTCTCTCACTCTCTGTAACTCTACCTCTCAGATAAATAAATTAAACAAAAAAAGAAGTTCATGGAAAACAGAATTGAAAAGTAAATTTCTTCTACCGCAAAAAGATTAGAAATTCACCTATAGTTCTTTCACAAAACGCACCGTCCACCTGTGAACTTCTCAGTTTCCTATCTGCCCGTGTGGCACAGCAGAAACACAGACCCAGCTTTCCAAGGACTCTGCAAGCTACACACACAGAGAACGCACCACTGAGGGCTCCCAGATTTACCTCAATTTTAAGTGTGAAACTCGAGAAACAGAAGGGAGCGAGCTTGGTTATGAACTGGGCTCCCAACTCAGACTGCCAAGGCCACAGCGCAGCTCTGCCATCGCTGCTGGGGGTACACAGGCAGGGCCCAGGGGCCAGGGCCAGCCCCTCCTGGGGAGGGGGCCCTCAGCACAGCAGGGCCCTAGTTAGGGCCCTGTGCTCCTCCAGCGGGAGACCTGGCCTCAGCACAGCAGGGCCCGCCCTCCCGGCCACCGTGAGCTCCCTGGCAGGTGCTGTGCGGCCCCCAGCCAGGGCTGCACAGGAGCCCAGGCCCCCGCGCCTCACCGGTCAGGCTCTTCAGCCCTTCTGTGAACAGCGACTGGAACTCCGGGGACTGCACCTTCATGGTGAAGAGGCGCAGCCTGCTCCAGGTGCAGCTCAGCGCCGGCCGGTGCCAGGGCCGCAGGCACCTCAGCATCGGGGCAGTCACCGGCGCCCTCCTGCGGAACAGCGAGGGAAAGCAAGGGTCACACCTTAGGGAGAAATCCACCCGCTCGCCCAGCGACACCCGCAGGTGTCTGCCCGGAGCACCTGCCACCTGCGAGTTCCCAGTTCCCACAGCCACCCTCAGGGACCCCTCCCTCCTTCCCTCCCCCTCCCCCTGCAGCTCCTGCAGGCACCACCAGGCACCCCAGGAAGGACAGAGGGTTCCTAAGGAGAAGCGGGCGCTGGGACTCTGGGAGAGAAAGAGGGGGGCCCAGGAGACAGATGGGCGGACAGCTGGGCTCCCGCCGGGGGCCTGGAGGGGAACACAGTCCTGAGAGATACGGGGGTCAGGACAGCTGGGCTCCTGCCGGGGGCCTGGAGGGGAACACAGAGTCCTGAGAGATACGGGGGTCAGGACAGGTGGGGCCCGCCGGGGGCCTGGAGGAGCGCAGGGGGAGTCCCGGAGATACGGGGGTCAGGACAGGTGGGGCCCGTCGGGGGCCTGGAGGGGGGCATGGCGAGTCCCAGGAGAGAGATACGGGGGTCAGGACAGCTGGGCTCCCGCCGGGGGGCCTGGAGGAGAACACAGAATCCTGAGAGATACGGGGGTCAGGACAGGTGGGGCCCGTCGGGGGCCTGGAGTGGGGCAGTGGGAGTCCCAGGAGAGAGATACAGGGGTCAGGACAGCTGGGCTCCCGCCGGGGGGCCTGGAGGAGAACACAGAGTCCTGAGAGAGATACGGGGGTCAGGACAGGTGGGGCCCGTCGGGGGCCTGGAGGAGAACACAGAATCCTGAGAGATACGGGGGTCAGGACAGGTAGGGCCCGTCGGGGGCCTGGAGGGCAGGGGGAGCCCCAGGAGATACGGGGGTCAGGACAGGTGGGGCCCGTCGGGGGCCTGGAGGAGCGCAGGGGGAGTCCCAGGAGAGATATGGGGGTCAGAACAGGTAGGGCCCGTCGGGGGCCTGGAGGAGAACACAGAATCCTGAGAGATACGGGGGTCAGGACAGGTGGGGCCCGTCGGGGGCCTGGAGGAGCGCAGGGGGAGTCCCAGGAGAGATATGGGGGTCAGAACAGGTAGGGCCCGTCGGGGGCCTGGAGGGCAGGGGGAGCCCCAGGAGATACGGGGGTCAGGACAGGTGGGGCCCGTCGGGGGCCCGGAGGAGCGCAGGAGGGATCCCCACGAGACAGTCGCGGGGACCCCAGCACAGCAGGGAGGCCCGGGAGCAGGGGAACAGAGGTTCACAGGGGGAGAGAGATTCAGTGGGGGCAGCGCTTGCGGCCCCACCAGGCCTCGCGGGAGGCTGACCGCTCGGACAGACCGCGGCCCTGACGCCCCAGGCCCTGGCTAAATTCTATCTCGCCGGCCGCGTAGCCCCCCGAGCTGCCACCTGGCGGGACGAGGTCCCCGCGACTCTGTCCGGGCCCGGCGGACGCCCGCGCTCGCGTCTCCGCCTGCCCGGGGTCGGGGCCCGCGTGGAACAGGTCAGGACGGAACAGGAAACCAAAAGACCCGACCTCACAGGACGCGGCTCACCTGCACGCCGCCGCCGCCACCGCCGCCGCGCGCACTTCCGGGCGGAAACGCGCTGACGTACCGCAAGCACGCCGGCCGCAGCCAATGGGAAGGAGCGAAGGGTCGTGGGCGGGGCCTGGGCTTGTCCCCGCCCCCGACGCACGCCGGCCGCAATGAGAAGGGGCGGAAGGCCGTGGGCGGGGCCGGGGCTGACCGCGGCCCGGAGCCTGGCGCGCCTGCGCGGCACGTCGCTGCTCGGACCCGGGGCGCCTTCCGCACTATGCAAACACCGTGGCCCCGCGTCCTGGGTGTCGGCGGCCGCCTGCTCCACACCGATACTGCCCTCACCTTCGAGCCTGCGCAGAGCCAAGCCCACACCAGCTCAGAACCGCAGGCGGCGTCCGGGCTCGGGCCGCGTGCTCCCAGCACACCCGGCCCGGTGGAGCCGGCGGCGCGGGCCGGCTCGGTCCGGCTCGGTCCGGCTCGGTCCGGCTCGGTCGGGTTTCCACCGGCGGCCCTGTCCGGATGCCCCGCAGGTGGATCGCGGAACCCGGGTTGGAGTCCTGGAAGCCCGCGCGTGGCGGCGGGGGGCGGCACGGCCGCTGGCCCCGCACCCCGGGACAGCGCGGCCTGGGAAGGCAAGCCCGACCGCCCGGCCGTGGGCGCCCCGGGGTGCGGGACCCCGGCCTGCTGGGCGCCCGGTGCAGAAGCGAGGGTGCGGCCTCCTGCGGAGGTCGTGGGCGGCGGGGCCGGCCCAGCGCTGCGGAGTCGAGCGCGGGTGACGCATTTCCGTGGACTTTTTGAAGACCCCGCCTATGTGTATGTGGCTCTGAAGTTTGTTTTTGCACCAAAATAAACGGTTCACTTTTCCGTGAACGCTCGAAGCCCCCTCGTGTTCACGCATGTGCGTGCATGGAGGATTTCTAATACACTGAAAGTACGTTGACGTGAAACGGGAAGTCAGCACCGCGACTGTGCACTAGCACTGAGCGACAGTGCTGTGAACAGTGTAACTCCAGGGCACTGTAGCGACGCGGAAAAATCCTAAAAACTTCAGAAACAGGACATCATTTTGAAACAGGAACAGTCTGGTTAGTAAGTAGGTTGGGTTTTGTTCAGTAAACGTCCCACAAAGACCACTCAGGGCCCAGACGTTTCGGTGACCAGTGGCACCAAGCCTACTCCCCCAACAGGAGGAGGCACTGAGCCCGTGGGGGGAGACCGGTGTGAAATAATTACCCAAAGTTAACGGCCATCGAGATCCCACACGAACACAGACACAAAAACTTCATAAAACATGAATGCGCCAAACCCCACAGTGTGTGCAGACACGCATCAGGATCAGGATCTGCCCCAAATCCCAGGATCCAAGGTGGAGTTAAGGCTCAAAAACCCATCAGTGTAAGCCACCAGGATTATTAGACGGAAAAAGAAATTCCAAACACTCATCACCCCAACAGAAGCCGAGAGCACTAAGTCAGCACCCACACGCCGCAGCTGCCCAGCCCCAGCTGCTCCACTTCCAGTGCAGGTCCCTGCTAGCCGGGGCTGGGGGTGGCCCAAACACCCCGGCCTGCCACGCACCCGGGAGACCCGGCTGGCGCTGCCACCTGCACCAGGCTCAGCAGTCACAGCCCTCTGGGAGGGAACCAGCACATGGAAGACCTCTCTCTGTGTCTTACCCTCTCTCTCTCTCTAACCCTTCCTTTCAAATAAATCTTTTTAAAAAATCTCAACACCCATTCCACATGAGCATCATTTAAAAATCCAAGTAGAAGGAGATTCGTCACTATAGTCAGGGGGACCCGGGACTGCCTGCAGGTGACCGCAGACTTCACTGGAAACACTGAGCACTTCCCCCTGAGTACCAGAAACCAGGCAAGGACGAGCAGTCTCACCACCTCTTTTCAACATTTACATATTTTTTCTTTTTCTTTCTTTTTTTTTTTTTTTTTGACAGGCAGAGTGGACAGTGAGAGAGAGACAGAGAGAAAGGTCTTCCTTTACCGTTGGTTCACTCCCCAATGGCCGCTGCGGCCGGCGCACTGCGCTGATCCAAAGCCAGGAGCCAGGTGCTTCTCCTGGTCTCCCATGGGGTGCAGGGCCCAAGCACTTGGGCCATCCTCCACTGCACTCCCTGGCCACAGCAGAGAGCTGGCCTGGAAGGGGGGCAACCGGGACAGAATCCGGCGCCCCGACCGGGACTAGAACCCAGAGTGCCGGTGCCGCAGGCAGAGGATTAGCCTAGTGAGCTGCGGCGCCAGCCTTTTCTTTCCTTTTTTAAAGAGACTACCAGAGCTCTGATCTACTGGTTTACTGCACATATACCTGAAACGGCCAGGGCTGGGCCAGGCTGAAGCCAGGAGCCTGGAACTCCATCCAGATCTCCCCTGTCGTGGTGGGGGCCCAACGACTTGAGCCATCAGCTGCCACCTCCCGGGGTCTGAACTGGCGGGAAAGTGGAATCAGGAGTGGAGCCAGCACTTGAACCCCAGCACTGTCC